CTCAGATTCCGACAGTAGTGCTGCATTTGAGGGGGATGCGACCCTGTGAAAATTGATGCTGTTGGTTTTACACAGCTTTGCTCCAAAGTTATCAAAGCCGAGGATGGACACGTTGGGAACGCCGGGAATTCTGGCACTCGTGGGCCTCTTGTGCTCTGCAGGTGGATTGGTATGTGGAGAGGTCACACCTAACCAACTTCTCAGGCCTCTGGTGTGAAAGATAAAGCCATCTGGTCACCATTTGACAGCTGAAATTGTAATTACACCATTTGGCTTAGGAATTGCTGGCAGCCACCGTTTGAAGCTGTCCCAGATAGGGATCGAGCCATTCCACGGGAGCCGGCTCGCTGGAATTCATCTCTCCTCATCTCCTTGGCCCGCTTTTCACCTTCCCGAATTTATCTCCGCAGATCCCTCGTCCCGATTGTGAACTTGGCAGCGACTGCTCGGCGTGAATAACCCCAGTGGCCACTAACCAGGAACACCTGCTGGCCCCGTTACCCGGAACGGGAGGAGAAGATGGGCATCTCCAGCGGAATTCCACCGCGGAATATGGAAGTGTTTAAAGGAAGACCTTCCCCGCTCGGGGTAGCAGAGATCTGAACCTTTAAATTGCAGCCATCCCCGGCCTGACGATAAGTAAATAAACAATTCACAGCTGCGAGGGCTAAACACAGAACACATCTATCTCTCGCCCCGGCCTGATTGCTGAACAAGTAATTAAGTTCGAAATGTGAGCCCCCAAAGTCACCGGGAGACGATAAAGGTCTCGAGTTGTAAATTAAGTGAACTCCTCGATTTTAACCCTTCTGGAGCCCTTGGGTGGCACTGGGTGCCTCAGCGTGACTCCAGTGCAATTTGCATGCAATTATTCCTGACATTTGCCCCTGGGAATATGGAGCTGTTATTTTAACAAATTAAAAAAACAAGGGAGGGAGTTGCTTTGTCTCTTGTCCCCGAGTAGTGCAGGGCAGTCCCAGTCCCGATGCTGGTCCATCACATTCCCGCTGTCCCTGTCGCTCCCGGCCATAGCAGAGGTGTCACAAACCCAAAATACATTAAAGCCTCAGCTCAGGCTCTGAGATAAAGGGGGCTGCTGGCTGGGATGGGCAGATATCTATCAGTGCCTCCAGATTGTATTCATTCGGGATTCACCTTGAGAATCAGGGTGTAAGGAATGACCCTAAATTGAAGTATCACCACTTGTTAAGTAATTCGTTAAAAGGCTTCTGGGGTTTTGCTTTCTTTGGTTGTGGCTGGATTGTGGAATTTTTTTTTCCTTTTTATTTTTTTGTGAATGAAAACTTTACTTTGCATGGTGTTTGATAATTTATTTTAAGGACTCAGCTCCTGCAATTTTATGACTATGATCGATGCATTTTCAGATGCATAAATAATTATTTTAGCACACAATGGAAACTTTGTCAATGTCCAACAAGTGTCCGGTTTTCAACCCAAAGGACTGCAAACTACAAGACATATAAAAATAATTCAAAGTTGAATTTTTAAAATAAATAACTCTTAAACAATCCAATAATTTTTGAGTGCTTTATACCAACTTGGCAACTTCTAGGGTACATTTAATTTAGTGGAGTTTTTCTCCTTAGATGATTCACAGGCTTAGATGACCTGTTTGATGCTGGAGCTGGATTTGATTTGAATCCTGGACTGTGAAGCCATGGAGGGATGGATCTGTGGATCTGGATCACACTCAGATCACTCTATAGTTAATTTTTATGTGGACCAAATTAATTTTTGGGCTCTCTGATGAAGGGAGAAAAGCAGGGAGTGATTCACAGCAGGACCTCAGCCTCCTTCTCACTGAAGCATGAGGTTTGTTTGGGATTGGCCTCGTTATTACAAATTTCTTCAGATTTAACTCTCAGACTTGCAATTTTCTCCTGTTCTGAAGGAGCTGCTTATATTTTACAGCTTTTCTTGAAGCCATGGCAGGAGCTGTGCTCGAAATGGTGCCGTGGGAGTTGGTATCCCAGGTCAGGAGACCAGACATCAAATCCTTGGTGCACCTTGGCAGCTGGGAACGCTCCACAAAGCAGGAATGCTCCAGCAAACCCTGCCAAAGCAGCTGCTGGGAGCACACCACCAAAGGTACAAATGGTAGGTGGGATCAGAGGAGAACCAGCCAGGGATCTCCTCCTTTACCAGAAAATCCTTGTCTTTCCCCAGTCCCAGAGAATCCATAAAAACCACTCAACTTCACACGGCTGCTTTGCTCAGAGCTGAGGCCACGCAGAACACGGCTCATCCATTTTAGATCCTACTTCCAGTGGAAGCTGGGCAGGGAGACAGCAAACCTTCAAACCCCATGCTGTGAAGGAGCAAGCACACTCCTAAAATGTCCCTTCTAAAAGGAAACCCCAAGCTGTGAAGGAGCAAGAACACTCCTAAAATGTCCCTTCTAAAAGGGAGCCTCCCTTTTGGGCTTCAAATGCTATCTTTGTTACCACCCTTGGTAACCTCGCTAGCAAAGAGCTGAATGTTATTAGAAAACAGCTGAGCATGGGTGGGAAGACAAGAAAACAAAAGGAAATGGAAGTCCTGGAAATTGATTTTCCATTTGAATCTGTTATTTTTTTCTTCTAATTTTTAATAAGACATTTTATGAAGATTATTGCACTGCTATCTATTTTCTTTTAGGGTGTGTTATCTTTTGTGACTTAGTTTAGACTAAAAAAAACCTTAGTTGCTAATTAAGGGTAGAAATGGAAATCCAAAGACTTGCTTCTCATCAATGCCAAGCAGTAAATCCTTTAATGCTCTGGGATTTTGCTCTAGAGCTCTAAATTTCCCATTGGTATTTAGTAATCTGCTGATTGCATTTACTTTAATTCTTTGGTCTTCGGAGTGTTCATGTTGAGGCACTCACTTACAGTAGCTCTGCGTGTTGAGGGCAATGAGTTAAAAGCTGTAGAGGTTTTTTTATTAAATTCCAGCTCTGTTTTTCCTATTGAGTTCCCAACTACTGGGTTATATCACACTAATAGGAGTTGTACTCTGGCTGGACAAATGGCAGCGTGTTGCAGTGTCCTGGGGGAGCCATGACATCATTTTTAATTTGCTTATCTGGACTCGGAAAAATAGGAGGGTGTTTGGTGAGAAAGTGAATTTATTTTTGCTCCAGCTCACCTCTTCTTGCTGTGACGTTATGGGAACCATGTCCCTGTGCAGGTTACAACCCGTGGCCACTCTCTGGAGGTCAGAGATGTCCCCATTCCACCACCTCTGAAGGAACAGAGGGATTTAATAGCCCATAAGCCCATTTTCCCATTCCCTAGGAACTGTGGAGGACAAGACCCCATTTCTTTTAATGCATCCCTCAAGGTTTGCCTGCAGGCTGAGAGAAGCCAAGGAAACCTTCCAGGCAGTTTTGTGGTTGGGTTCCACAAACAACTTGACACTGGGCTCAAGAAGAATAGGGACTGGGAAAATTCTTTGGAGCATCTTGGATACCTTTGGCTGTGTTTGGACTCAATTAGCTCAAATAGGATTTGATTTCTAATTTTTTTTCATTTCCTCTTTCCAGCTGAGACTGGAAAAGGTGTTCTAGTCCCATGGGAGCTGGAAAAATGCTTCCTAACAGAGCTCATCTAACCTATGCTGTGAGTGTCTCATGGAATTAGGACAGGAGACAGGAATTTTAGAATAGGAGAGAGCTTTTAAGTCATGTCATTCTGAGTAAATAGCTTACATACAGATGATGTTGCATAAATAGTTAATACATCAGTAAATGCTTGTCCAATTTGACCCAAGTTTTTAAGCATTTGATGAAATAATGTTTTTGTCTTCTCCAGAGAAATAATCTTGACATAAAGCCTTTAAGAACTGTGTAGAACTCAGCCTGCTGGGAAATTTTATTTTCCCTAAGTGAAGGTCTGGCCTTTCTGTCCACTTGCTTTGCAACAAGAACCTTCAAAATGGAAGTGCAACAACTTATTTTTATCATTTCTTTACTGCACTTATTCCAGAGAATCACTTGTGAACTGTAACTTGCACTTGCAATTTCCCACTCCTAACACAAATGCACATTTAATTAATCTTGCTCTTTTAAGCTTGAAGTCTCAAAATTTGGATATTTAAATTCTCTTTATCAATTTGGATAAGCTAGGTTTGAAGGAGGGAACCAAAGCTGTATTTTCTGGGTGATTTGGGAAAAGAGAATCAGTCTCAGTAGGTTTCAGTCCAACCAGTGCCATAAGCTCCTGGACACCTGGAACAGCTGACTTGGCATTCCAAGCGAGCGAGGACCAAAGGCTCCAGCTCCCTGCAGTGGGAATGACCTCACAGCACGAGGAAGACCTGATTACATCACGGAGATAACCTGTTCCCTTAAAAATAGCAAGGTCAGGGAGGCAATAAAGCTGTCAGCATGGCAATCACAGCTTGTGTTCCACCAGCTCCCCAGGCTGGGGACCAGGAGGGTGGGGACCTCACAGCGAGGACGGCCACGTTTGGGTAAACAAACCCATGGCAATACCCCAGTGCTATTGTCTGCTCAACAGCTCTATCTGTGCCAGTGATATTTCCAGGTTAGCTCCTCCTAGGCCCATAAAAATCTCCATTTTATTCTTTTTGCTGTTCTTTTTTCTATTTTTTTTTCCCCGGGATGCAATGATAGATGGAGTGCCCATAAAAACCTCACGGCTCCATGTAGGACATCCCCAAGCAGCGAGCCAGATGTGGAGCAACTGGTCATGGAACAGGCTTCCACCCAGGCCAGGGCTTGGCTCGAGCCTCTTGTCCATCACTGGGATGCCTCACTCTTTGTTCACATCCAGCTGTGGGAATGTTTCACACCAGAGGCCAGGCCAAGAATGGAAAACCATCCAATCTCTCCAGCCAAGCAGCCTTGGGAGGTGCTTGTGGTGCAGGTGGCAGCACAGCCCAATATTTTCATTGTGCTGGGCTGACAGGTTTTCAGCAAAGGAAGATGTTGTGGAGGGTTCACATCCTGTTGGTGCCTCAGATACGTTTCAGCTATTGCTGTTTTCCTTTGGATAACGTGTCTCTTGGCTCAGCCTCCAGCTTAGCTGGCCTTGGACAATGGGTCAGAGTGATGCAACTGATTTGGGGGCGACTTTTGGACACAAGTGCCAAACTGTGCAGTTTTGATAAAGATTGAACATGTGCAAGGCAGTGTCTAGGGATAAAACATTTCTTATTATATCCAAAACGAAGCATAAACTTGTGCCACTGATAATATATAGCAAGGCTTTGTCTGTTAAACACCTATTCTCCAGCAAGTTTTGGTGAAATTTTTGATTTTTAAGATATTTTTCAACTTAAAGCCATGTCAAGGGTTGAGGTCAGAGGTGAGAAAGACCAAAAGAGTCATTGGCCTCATGTGAGTGAAATGTGGTTGCAGTCAGGGCAGCTGCCACTGCCTTGCAGAGCTTTTCCCTTCCTTTGGTGGTGGCTCAGAGCTGCACTCAGAACAGCTCCAGGCACTTATAACCTGCAATTCTTGACTATTGGATCCACCTTCTCCCATCCTGGCCAAGAAATCCACTTGGAAATGAAGATTTAAACCAAACTTCCATTGCTGTTGAAAAGGGTTAGAGATGGGATGAGATTATGAGCAGATGCAATAAAATTGGGGTTGACCAGAAAATTTAGCTCCAACTCAGAGAAAACTTTAGGAGTTTTTTTTAAGTATATTTGCTACTTTGCATAATATTTTGTTGTATTTTTACACTTACTGATTTTGATGGGACCCCAAAACCAGAAGTACTGTGAGATGGGGCTGCTTCCATGGGCTATTTTTGTTCTGTACTGGAGGGGAGAAAACCTGTTCTTGTAGGATTTTCATCCCAGAGAGAAATAAGAAAAAAATATTTTGTGAGTATTTGTCTAAATTGAATAATTAACCTAAAGCTTGCCTATCACCAAGTCCTAATTATCTGTTGATGTTAATTCCATTGATTGTCCATAGGTGAGTCAGAGTCCTAAGGCAATGAAGGAATTTAATTGGAATGAGTTTTCAGTTTTTGGGTCTATTTACAGACTGTGGTATGTCCATTTGATCAAGTGCCAGAATGTGAAACTGGAACACCAGTGTTTTCTTCTTGCTATAATTGGAGTCTTTTAAGACAAGATTCCAACATTTGGAGGTGTTCACTGCAAGGTTTCAGTTCTTTCCCATCAAGATTTCAATGCTAATACATAAAATATTAAACTCAACATTGGCCGCCTTCCTCTTCCACTGAACTCAACGGGGATTTAATTCTTTGATTTCAATCAGGACAATGTTTAGCACTTTTGGCTGCCCAAAAAACACCGTGGTCCAACCACCTGCTCTGGATCTGCAGGCTGAGCTCCACAGGTGTTACCAACCCTTCCCAAGCCATCACTTGCACGAAAACAGGAATTTCTCTCTGGGTTGAACAAATTATGGTGACCTGAATCACGACTGATACTTTGGGCTTCTTGGGAGCAGCTCTGCCAGGGAGGAAGCTGAAGGCTGTTAATTTTTCGGGATGATAACGAAATCTTTTAATGAAAGGGAGGGGTTTGGCCTCCAAGGGCTTTGCCTCAGGGAGAGGGTGTGAAGGGGAGCAGCCCCGGAGCCCCGGGTTTGCCATGCTGGCTGGGAGGCCGTGAGAAGAATGATGTTTGTACCCCTGCCAAGCCCTTCCCTGCTGCTCTTGGAGAAACCAAGCTGCAAAAAGCTCTTTCCTGCAGAGTGTCGCAAGGACTGTCTTGAATTTGGCCTCAGGAAATGGTTCAATTCTTTTATTTATTGGGTTTTTTTAAATCTTGCTTGCTCCACGTTATTAAAAAATAAAGATATGATTTCTATGGATCTGTCGCATGGGGCAGGATATCTACATCACCTACAGGGATGGTGATGGGGTGGCGATTTCTCTGTGCTGGAGCAACCAGTCCTCCTTGGTTTAAATCCCTTCCTTCATCCAGTGCAACAATAATATTTTTTGGACAAGGGATTTTGGAAAAGTTGAAATGTTTGCTTTACAAAACAGACGTAAAATTTCTCCTTCAAGGTGCTAAATATGTGCTGAGCTGGTCCAAAACACGACTGCATCTGGCTGTGTCTCGTGTCTGCCACTAAAAAAATGTCCTAAATTCCAGACAACCTCTGGGGCTTTGAAATAAAACTCATTAATCCTGCATTTGAATTTAATATTTGAAATTTTATCCTAATCTTTTTTTTTTTTCTTCCACATGAATTAACTTTAGAATACTTGGAAAGGAGCACAAGGGTGGGTTTTTTCTTTTTCTTTTTTTTCTTTTTCTTTTTTTTTTTTTTTTTTTTTTGAGGGAGAGAGAGAGAGGGAGAACATTCTTAACAAAGGGTATAAAATTAAACTAAATTTGACCTCTGCCTATAGCAGATTTTCCACCTGGTCTGTGCAGGAAATCAACTTCTATATAGCAGCTCTTTCATAAGGAATAACATACATGAGTCTGTAAGTGACAGTTTTTCTTGGGTGGACAACAATGTTAGTTACTTTTTATGATTAATTGATAAATGTTTTGATATGGTGCCTGGGCTCGGAGTCAAAAATCACTCCAGTTAGATGATCCAACACTTGGGAAGCTGGGCCAATTACAGCTCAGGCACAGTGAAAACAATTCTAAAATATTTGAGCCTAAAAATGTGCATAGTTGTTAAGGAATCTTACATGTGGGTGTATGGTGGTATCCTGAATTACAGCGACTTGGTGGGCCAATTTCTTCAGGAATGCAGGGAAGCGCAGGGATTCGAGACTCTTGCATCTATATTTCAAAAGACTTGGGAAAACAGAAGAACCACATGGGCTCTTGTGGCTGGGCACGTGCTGAGGAAAACCAGAGCATGGGCCAAAATGTACTTTTAGTCCCTTGGGTTGCACAAATCCCTTTGCTTTTTTGGGAAGGTTTTAGGTTTCCAGTCTCCTTCCCTTGACTCTTAACCTCCTCTGAGCTTGCTCTTGTCTTTTTTTTAGGCTCCAGAACTTTCTACACCAGGCTTCCAACTTTCATCCTCAGATCTGCACCCTGATGGATTTTTAAATGGTCCACGAGGAGCAGGATTTCACGTCTGTGATCAGGTTGCCCCTACCAGCAGGGTGGGCTGGACTCGGAGGTTTTAGGTAGACCCCAGCACCAAAAAAACTACATCAGACACAGCTCTTGGAGGGCCTCCAAAAGAATAAACTCATTTGCAATTAGAGTTTATTTTCTCAGATTTTTGAGAGAAAGAAAAAACACTGTATTTTTCATTCTATAGGTAAGTGAATACAGTAGGTTTTTTTTTTTCAGTAGGATTTTGGTGTCATCAACTCAAAGACCATTTGGAAAACTCCCTGTTGCAGATTGCTGATGGCTTTGTGTGTGACAGAGCTGTTCCCAACCAAGTCAGTGGAAACAGAATACCTGTTTTCTTTTCTGGTTCCCCTATCCTTCAGTTCCTAAAATGTTACATGGAAATTTTGAGGGATGCATGTCTGGAATTCAGTGCCACCAGAGATCTGGAAACTGAGGGGCAAATCCTGAGCTTCAGAAATCTCAGGGGTTTTTGATTGTTCAGCATTTTCCATGTAAAGATCTAATTCTAGCCCCAAGCATCTCATTGTCTTCAATGGATTTTTATTCCAAGGCCAAGCTTCACTTTAGAAAAATTAATGGATACAGGTTCTACTGGGGGCTGCTTGACATCACTAAGGCCATTAGCTTCTGAAAGGCTTGAAGGTATTTGAATAGAATTAGATTTAGAAATTAATTGACCTTTTCAGAGCCCTTGACTCTTGATGCATTGTGAAGGAAGTGAGGAGAGCTGAGGAATATCTTTTCAAATGGAAGAGCATCTTTCCTATCCTTGTTTTCCAGTAAAGATCCAGTCTGCTATGTGGTTAAAAATACAATTTCCCAAGAAACTGTCTCATTTCAAGTATGATTTGAATGGCATGACACCCCTTCTCAACCCTCCCTCCATCCCTGACACCCTGTTTTGATCCTGGCTGCTGGATCTAAACACACTCCTGCTTTCACTTTATTTAACCCTGGTGGATTTCATCACTGCTGATCCAAAAGGAAAATTTTTACCAGCACACTGTAAGCTTTACTGCTCGTGACTTCTTAATCATGCAGATTTTATTTCATGTTAAGCTAGCAACTGAACTCTTCTAATAAACAGAGTAAAATCTAATTAGGCTACTGGAGGGGAATAGAAGAATTTATACTCCTCCAGACACACAGACATTGGGAATTCTTCCTCAAACACACAGCCAGGCTTCCTGGCAGCCGTCTCCCTCAAAGAGTGGCTAATGATCCTACTAATTTGCACTTAGCTGATACTGCGAGGAGCTCCTCGCAGATGGAAAATATACTTCTTCCATGAGATCATACAGGGCAGCACGGCCTCGTGGACTGTGCACAGAGAAAAAGAAACCCCAGCTCCAAATCCCACGGCTCCCACTCCTCGCTGTGTGGTCTCTCTCTCTCTCTCTCAGTTTCTCCATGCACAATCTCGCTGTTCATTCATGGGCTCGTGGTGATTACTCACTCCTCTGCTTGTGTTCCCAAAGCAGAAGATACAATTAAAGCACTGAGATGCCGTGGTTAGAGACTCCATGCCACCTCCAGAGCATCTGTGGAGAAGATTGACAGCACAGATGAATTTGGCTGATTTTTAGTCTTCACTGGGTTCATAATTATTTCAAGTATTGCCAGGGAGAGGGAGATCAGAAACCAACCCCCACGGAAGGGGACACATCTCACCACAAGAGGCCACACATCCAGGCTACACCCAACCCCTCAGGGCCATCTCCATGCACACAATCATCCCTGCACACCCATGGTCACCCCAAAGGGGTGATGCTCCCCAGAGAAGTGGTGGAGTCACCGTCCCTGGATGCATCCAAAGAACATGACACTTTGGGATATGGTGAAGTGGGAATGGTGGTCATAGGTTAAAGGTTGGGCTGGATGGTTTGGGAGGTCTTTTCCAACCTTGATTAGCCTGTGGTTCTATGATACCACCTCACGTTTTTACGCCTTACAGCAAAAGGAGCTCAAAAAGGCAGTGGGGTCAAGCTTGGCCTCTCTGCTGGTTTGGGCTGGGGTTGATGAATCGTGCAAGGGGCAGGGAGTTCTCCAGCACATTTCCTCACTGTTCCCTGCCAAGGACATCCCAGAGGTCCCACAGCAGTCCCAGATGACGTTGGGAACCATGGGATATATGTCCAGAATTGACTGGGAAAGTGTGAACACCATGGAAGCAACAAGTAAACCCAAGGCATGCAACCCTCCCCAGGAATTGGTGCTCAAGGCTCTTCCCCAAGCCTCTTTTTTTTCCCAACAGCCTTTTTTTGTGGATGGAGAGCTGTCATGTCCTTTTCCAAGACTGTTTAGCCCTTCCATTTTCTTGTCAGAATTGTTCCTATAAGACCATCAGTCATTACTTTGGTTTGAATGAAGGGCAGGGTGAGAATATAGGAGAAAATGTTAATATAAAACCAGAATAAAAAGGGAGTTGTTCATAAGCAAGGAGAATAATAAAATTATAGGATCATAGAATGTTTAGAGTTGGAAGGGACTTTAAAGCTCATCTTGTTCCAACCCCCTGCCGTGGGCAGGGACAATTTTCACTACCCCAGGTTGCTCCAAGCCCCTTCCAACCTGTCCTTGGACACTTCCAGGGCTGGGGCAGGCACAGCTTCTTTGGATAATAAAGCAGGACATGACCCTGGTAATCTCAGGAGACAACTTTCCGCTGATGACATTAGGGCAGAGTGCCAACAGCTCTGGCCCCTGGAGATGTAAATGCTCCAGGAAGGATTCAGGTCCTGCTGGGCACAGGTTTGTTCAGGGAAGGGTGTAGCCCCAGGAGTGGGAGGAGAAGACCTTCCTCCTCATGTTTCAGATTTTTAAAAGTCAAAACACAAAAAGTTCCAGAGAAAACCAACCCTGCAGTGGGCTGAAGCTGATGTATCTTTTTCTAGCACATGGATCTTTTGTGAAATGAAATCCCTGGCCTGAAACCTGGAGGCATGGCTTACTTTTACTTTATTCAGGCAAACCTCCAGCTGATGGGAGAGAGCACTGGGTCATGTTAGGATTTGGCCCACAAGGGCAGAGCAGAGCCAAGCTCCCAATGTCACATAAACATTTTAACTGAGCTTTCTGCAGGATCCCAGGGATGGAACAGGGCTGTGATCTGGTGTTCTGTCGGGCATGCAAGGAGTTTAAACTCGTCCTGCCTAGAGCATGAAGAGAGCAGGATCCAACCAGCTGTATCATCTCTTCCTCTTCCCAGAGTTGTCTAGAATATCGTCTGTTTTGTGTGATGGGTAGAAACGAGCTAAAAACTGCTTAACCTGTTCTGTGTGGGTGAAAAAAAATTCAGAAATCAACCCCTGGGTTGTTCATGCTGAAGTGGGAAGTGTGTTCTCGCTGCTGCTGAGGTATGAAGAGGGCATATTGTTCATTTAAACCACACTCTATAGGTTTTGCAGCAGTAAAGTATTTTTGAAAGTTTACAGCTGTAGGAGAAATTCCCTGGAGCTTATCCGTCAGTTTTCTGCCAATCAGAGAGCTGAAGGCACTCCGGTTTGGGCTCCAAAAGTGACATTTTAGTGTTACATGTCTGAAATGTGGAGCAGTTTTGAGAGAGCATCCTGACAGGTTTGGAACTCCGAATAAATGATTTTCTGGTGCCAAGCTACACAGTCTGGGAAACGCTGCACGCCACGCTCGCTCCTGTGCCTCTGCCAGAACCCAAAATATAGATTCAAAAGAGAACAAGAAGTATGGCTCAGGACTTTGCTTTGTGGATGCATTTCAAGCAGGAGCTCTCTCTGATATTTAATGTATGAACTGCTGTCTTAGCCATAAGAATTCCGTATAAGAGGAGGTCCATGTTCAAGCAGATCACGTAGCAACGCCGTGGAGGAAGGGAGAGACTCTGCAGGAAAGAAAATGTCCCAGGCTGACCAAAAAAACATCTCCAGCGTGGAGGAAATGGTGAAACTTGGGCCAATCCACTGCAAGCCCATTAATTTATACATTTGAAAGTTGTTTCAGAGTGGTTTCTGAAAGGGAAAACACGGGCATCTGAGAAGGTGTGGATGCTAACGCATTGATGTGGGAGCCGTCCTTCAGGGAGCAAGAGTGCCAGGCCAGGCCTGTCTCCACAAAATGGTCACGAAGAGGAGCTTGAAAGACCTTTAGAATTATTGCTTCAAAATCAACCCCAAAGAATGGTTATGAGATGGAAAAATAAATACATTTGGTTTCTCAGTATTATTTTATTTAAGTAGAGCAGAGAACAGCTGGGAGAAGAACAGGCCACATTTTTGTTCTTAATGAATGGTTCTAAAATGTTCTTTAATGGGATGATAAGAACAGAGAGTCTTTTAATTAAGGCCTGGGATGAATCAATTTGCAATAACTTATTAGAGCTGGTCAAGGAAGGAGCTGCACTGCAATAGGCAGGTTTATCCACAGGAATATCCCTGGAATGTGATTGCTTCAACCCCAGTCAGGGTTGGAAACAGCTCCTTGAAGGGGAACAGCTCAGATGTGGTTCTCATATCTCTCCTGAAGAGGCCTGCCAGGACACCAGGGGAGAGGATCTCTGAGCTCAGCCCCTTCTGATGTCCTTGAATGTGGGAAGCTCAATATTTTCGAACACTCTGTCAGAGATTCGATGACTTTGGCCCAGCACCTTCTGTTTATTGTTAATGAAAGTCAATAGAAGTGTGGAAAAGTACAAAATGTCAGCCGATGACCTTGTGAAATCCATGGCAGGAGGGAGCAAAGAAAGAAAACCACCCTTTGGTACAGGCTTTGTCCCTCCTGCCGTATTGGGATCCAGAAGTAAAAGGATTTTTTTCTCAGGGCTGGGGTTTAGTAAGTCAGGAATTTTGTCCCTCCTTGTTTTCCTTGCAGTTAGTTAAATCCTTAGGCTCCTGTTAACACTGAACTCCAAGTTGATTTTTGTGTTAAAATGCTGAAACCTAATTTTCGTTTAACAATTTTCTCTCGGAGGCCAACATCAAATTAGTGTGTTTTCCACTGGCAGCCCCTGGTAATTTGGTAGGCAGGAGGCTCACACATACTTAAGTGATTCAATACATTTTGTTATACTCTGTACAAGAAACCCAGTCAGAAAAGGCTGATTTATGATATTCCTCAGGTTTCCTGTTACTTTAAATCTCCAGCATCCTATGGCCAAGCCCTTCACAGGCAGCCAGCACATCTGGCCCAGAGTGCTCCTGTCAC